ATTCTTATTGAGCAATGTCCTCACGCTGTCCTCAGGTCTCTCTGATGAGCGAATAGATGTGCTCAGCAACTGCTACACTAACGTGAAGTTTCTCAACAACAAATACCACCCCGAGATAATGGCGATTCTGGAGAAATACGATCCGGACGTGGAGAGTGTTATGAATAATCGTCATAGCATAGCACACTGGAAGACACCCCTGGCTGAGATTGAGCAGGCTTCTTAGTGCGAGTAAACTACGTATCGAGTCGTGGTGGGTAGTGTTGGAAGTTGCTGAAGGTGTGGTATGAGAGTACACGTTCCAAGTTTGTTTTTCCATTATGGTTGCTACTGTTGACAGTGCGATTTCCCTCGAAGGTGGCAGTAACAGAAGTCAGGCACCACTTGCTGTGCTCACCGACATCTACCAACAGCGGAACAGAGGACTCCGCAGTAGAACAGTGCCTCAAGTCTACCAAATGTGAGGCGGGTGTGGTATCGGTAGCTGGAGTGTCTATAATTATGGGATATAATTCAACGCTGTATGAAGATTTGGCGCGATATCTCGGTGAGATGGTATGAATGTATAATGGTATATCTGTGGTAAATGTCAAACTTTTATAATTCATCCGATACTGTGCTTTTCATTTACCATGATTGCTAGAGCTCCTCCCTCCCTAGTGAACGCAACGACGCTGTAGGGGGGGCATATAAGGATTATAGAGCAACCCCGACCAAGAATTAATCGTCATAATCTCTATCCAGGAGTAACTCGCCGATCTACCCGGGACCCCTCCGTAGGATCGAGTCGGCTCCTGTGGTTGCTCGAGGCCCTCCGAGAACTTCCGCCACGATGCCCAACACCTCACGTCATGAGTATCACTATCGTTATAATGTACCGAAGGATGCTGCTCGGATACTTACTACTCTTGTGGCCCTGTCAGACTGGCCGTCATGAGTCTCGTCAAGGTTCGTCTACTGCCAGGGATGCAACCAGGTGAGTTATGCTCTCGGGAGGAAAGCGTATGTGTTCGCCGCAATTGAGCAAAGGGGACATCCTTCTAGATGGAATGCTCGTGTTTTTCAGGAGAAATAGGGGAGCACCTCGCGGAAGCCATTTGGCCAGTCCGCCACCATCTCGCACTATGCGCCCTTCCACACAGGTATTGTTAACCCATGTTCTCCTCAGTAGCCTCATATCTCCATCAGAGGCACACAGCTCGACATCAGTATTCAAAACCACCGCCGGCGGGTCTGGTCGAACCCGAGTTGTCTTCGAGGAGCACCGGAACTAACTCCAGTGGAGTGGTATCGACATGGGAAGATCTCGGGGATGGTCTCGAGCCAATCCCAGTGGAAGGTCTCATCCGTCCTATAGTAACGTATACACATCACTGTGGATGCGGCGGTTACGTCTTCCGTAAGCACTTCTAGTCTTGCAGCAGTGGCCTTGTTAGGGCGGAGCGAAGCTCGCAATGTTTTTATGTTTTTGTGACTCGCCTGATCCATTTTTGATGAGGACCCTGCCGGGATACTAAGTTGATTCGTCTCTACACTCGTGTTCCATTGTTTTCTGCTCTGCTCCTTCAACTTTGTGTGACTCGAGAAAAGCCCCATTGTGTTCCGGATAATGCTGCTGGAACAACAGATCCACACGGCATCTTGTGAAATCGCGTATTTCCTCAACCCACCGTCGTGATCGCTATAATGCTGCTGATCGTCGCACTCTAATAACTTTTTCTTCGCGATTTTAACCGATTATCACTCGATAGGAGTGAGAGTAATTTCCTAATCTTAGTATCCATATAATATGGCTTGAGTTGCTTGAGTGAGATGTAGTAAGACGCGGCGACCCGTATGAAGTCTCAACCTAATTTTTCACATATCA